AGGGGGCGTGGGGTAGGGGGAGGCAGGAGGCTGGAGGCAATTGGGGCCAGGCTGGAAGACAACCTGGCAGCTTGTAGGTTCTGATTCGCCAAGATCTAGGAGGATAGAAGAGTATGAGGGGGAGAGAAGAAGAGAGATTTGGCTTTTGTTTTCCTAGTCCCGTACTGGACATTCTATAGCTGCTGGGCCATTGGCTAATCTCATTCTAGGGCCTGTTAGGATAGAGAAGTCCAACTCAACTGAGCATTTGACTTTATTATCCCAACAGGCAGGAAGATTTTGGTGACCAAAATTGTCAGAAACTTCCTCAATGGGGCAGGCTGACAAAGACTCAGCTCGGGTTCAGGAACTGGCACCACCCAGATGCTTCATGTCACCGCTCTTCCAGAAGCTTGTCTCCCAGTATGGCCAGATCCTGATGCCTCTGGGGGAGAAGCATCCTTCTGGGGGAGAATTTGAGGAAGCAGTGTCTGGAGACCTTGGATCTCATGGCTCCCACTCCATTTTAGAGGAAGGTCTTGCCTGGGGATTTCCATGGAGTCTGATTTGGGGTCAAAAGACTGCTCGGAAGAGCTCATGTAGACATTCCACTTCATTTTCTGAACTTTAATAGGTAACCATAATCAAAATGGCTCCCATTTACTGAGCACTTACTAAGGTCTAGATGTTGGACTAAGAGCTTCACATTTTTTTTCTTTTTTTGAGTTGGAGTCTCATTCTGTCACCCAGGCTGGAGTGCAATAGCATGACATGGATCACGAATCACCACAGCCTCGACTTCCTGGGCTCAGGCGATTTTTCTGCCTCAGCCTTCCAAGTAGCTGCAACCACAGGCATACACCACAATGCCGAGCTAGTTTTTTGGCTTATTGTAGAGGCGAGGTCTTGCCAAACTGCCCGGGCTGGTCTCATACCCCTGGGCTCAGGCAATCCTCTTGCTTCTGCTGCTCAAAGTGCTGAGATTACAGGCATGAGCCACAATGCCTGGCTTAGCTTTGCATTCTGTTTTTTTTTTTTTTTGAGTTGGAGTCTCATTCTGTCGCCCAGACTGGAGTGCAGTGGCACGCGCCTGGCCACCGCAGCCTTGACCTGCTGGGCTCCGGCAATCCTTCTGTCTCAGCCTTCCAAGTTGGTGGAATTACAGGTGTGCGCTACCATGCCTGGCTAATTTTTGATTTATTGTAGAGCTGAAGTCTCGCCAAGTTGCCCGGGTGGGGCTTTGTGTCCTTTATGCCATTCAATTCTCTCATCAACCTTCAGATGTAGGGATTTTTATTCTCTTTTTTTTGTTTTTTTTGAGTTGGAGTTTCACTCTTGTAGCCCAGGCTGGCATGCAGTGGCATGCTTATGGCCACCGCAGCCTCAACATTGTGGCCTCAGGCGATCCTTTCTGCCTCAGCCTTCCAAGTAGCTGGAACTACAGACACATACCACCGCACCTGGCTAGCTTTTGTGATTTATTGTAAGGATGAGGTCTCATTAAGTTGCCCAGGCTGGTCTTGAACCCCCAGGCTCAGGCAATCCTCTCACCTCAGCCTCCCAAAGTGCTGAGGTTACAGGTGTGAGTCACTGCACCTGGCTAATTTTTTGATTTATTGTAGAGACAAGGTCTCACCATGTTGCCCAGGCTGTTGTTGAACCCCTGGGCTCTGGCAATCCTCTCGCCTTTGCCTCCCAAAGTGCTGGGATTACTGGTGTGAACCACCACATCTAGTCGAGCGTTGCATTCTTTATGCCATTCAATTATTTCATCAACCCCTGGGATGTATGTATTTTTATTCTCATTCTACAGATGAGACTGAGGCATAGCGAGGCTAAATGACTTGCTGGTAATTGTTAGAGCCAGAACTGAACTCAGACAAATCATGGCCATTTGGAGTTCAAAACTGAGGGGACTTTTTCTGGAAGCCTCTTCTGACACCTCAGCAGATCTATTACTTCTCTAACACAGGGGTTCTCAACCCTTTGGAGGGCTCCAGCCCCCTCTGGGCAAGTGATAAGTGTGTGGAAACTCTTCCCAGAAAATGTACACTTTGGCCGGGCTCGGTGGCTCAGCCTGTAATTCCTTGCCTTGGGAGGCTGAGGTGAGTGGATTGCCTGAGCCCGTGGGTTCGAGACCCGCCTGGGCAACTTGGGGAGACTTCATCTCTACAATAAATCAAAAAATTAGCTGGGCGTGGTAGCACGTGCTTGTAATTCCAGCTACTTGGAAGGCTGAGGCGGAAGGATCACCGGAGCCCAGCAGGTTGAGGCTGCGGTGGCCGGGAGCGGCCACTGCGCTCCAGTCTGAGTGACAGAGTGAGACTCTGACTCAAAAAAAAAAAAAAAAAAAGAAAAGAAAATGTACACTTTGTACAAGTGTATTTCTCAGACAATTTCAGGGGTCCACACGGGCCTCCAGAATCCTGCTTTAGGTATTCAATTTCTGCAGCAACTGTTTTTCTTTCTCATAACCCAAGGGCACAGGGCAGCCCTCAGGGCCCCCAAAATCACCCCAGTGGGGAATGGAATCAGACAGGACAGGTTAATCAATGAAAGCTCACCGCGTGCTCCTTCCATAATTGCATTCCTGCCTTTTCATCCTAACAGCCAGCACTTAGGGTAATTGCATTCCAATAAGGCTCCCAGGTCTGGGGCCTCTGGGGCTTGCCCTGGAACCTGTTGACATGCCATCTGCTTCCAGAGGGGTTCTGGAGACCAAGACAACCTTTTAAAACCCTTCTCTGTTGTCTTTGCTATAAGAGAGACAAAGGACCCTGTAACAGATCCTGTCCCAAATTCCAATTTCTGAACCCACCCACATCAGCCCTGGAGCCATGGAGGCTTTCTTGGTCCTGGGCTATCTTTCTGAAGTCAAAATAGTAGCACCTGTTATTTCTAGTGGATGATCTTTGGGAATACCTGGCTTGGAGCAAGATAGCCACCACAGGGACCGGCTGGGCAGAACCAACTCAGGGCTGGAGAATCCAAAGGCTTGGAAACTCCTTTAGGGCTGGGGGCTGGGTGGGTATCTTGTGGCCTCAAACACCCCAAGCTTCACTCATTTACTCATGATATTTATTGGAACCTTCCTGAAGGGCATTTACTCTTTGCAAAGAAAATCTACAATGCAAAGAAGTAGGGAATCCCCCAGAGCAGGGAGTTTTGTAAATTCAGTTATATATCTCATATTCCATATATATATATTCTCTATACAATATATATTATATTTCAGAAATATAGCTTCCTCTGAAGCAAGCCCATGTGTTCTCCACACAATGAACAGAAAAGTGCAGGACTCATGGTGATCTGAGTTTCACTGTTTCCCAAACAGAGATGGTTCCTCTGCTCACCCCCACCAAAGGAATGAGGTATAAAATGGAGGGTCTGGTGTTTGTTATATAACTTACAGATGCCCCCTCCCCCACCATGGCTCCGGACGCTTCTTTTCTGTAAAGGAAAGTTTCCTCTGGGACTCTTCATTGTTTGAGCCCCCAGGAAGCCCTCCACAAGCCCAGCTCCCTTGGTCTGGATCCACAGGGTCAAGGGTTGATTTCTGTCATCCTTGCTGAGACCCTCACTCGGAGGAAATGACTTGTTTCTGGATAGAAATGTTCCTGCTGCAGGAGGGAGAAGAGATGAAGGTGGGTCTGCAATGCCATGAGTACCCTTGAGTGGTTAATCCTCCTCCAACATTATAATCCTTGTGACTGATCTGTGGTTTAGCAGAAAGCATTGATTTTCAGGAAGGCAGGCCCGGTATGTGAATCCTGTCTCAGTCAAGTTCAAAAGCTGTGTGCCTCTGGGCAAGTCACTTTCCCTCCCTGTGTCACAGTTTTATCCTGGCATGGTGAAGAGGCGGGAGATTTACTTTACAAGGTTCAAATTGTAGAGAAAACATGTACCATGGTACCTGGCGTTTGATTTATGATTTTCTCTCTTTGTTTTTTGAGTTGGAGTATCACTCTGTCACGCAGGCTGGAGGGTAGTAGCGTGCTCCTGGCCTCCACAGTTTTGACCTGCTGGGCTCCTGTGATCCTTCCATCTCAGCCTTCCAAGTAACCAGAACTACAGGCGCGTGCTACCATGCTCATCTAGTTTTTGATTTGTTGTAGAGACAGGTCTCACCAAGTTGCCCGGGCTAGTCTTGAACCAATCCTCTTGCCTCAGTCTCCCAAAATGCTGGAATTACAGGCTGAGCCACCGAGTCTGGCCTTCTTTTTCTGCATGTGCATGAAGGCACAAACTTCCAAAGCATCCTGTAGGTGTCAGAAGGTTCCATTGGGCTGTTCCCTATCAGTGTCCCCCTGCCCCCTCCCCATTCCAGTTTTCCTCAACCTAATCTCTCTCTACCTACAGCAGAGAGCCTAGACTCCAAATCACTGCTTCAGACTTTTCCCAGCAAGCTTGGTTCTTCCGGTAAGTTTGGCAGCCCCCTTAGGGTTCATAGACACGGCCAGTACAGCCTCAGAAACGGGGACACCCACAGACAGGTCAGTTTGTCCATCCCTGCCTCTTCTGGTTTGACGGCAGGGTCCTTCCGTCCGAGGGTATTATCACTACTTACTCTAGGTAGTGAGACTGCAGCCATTTCCATGGCATGGGGTGGATTATAAATGGGCATCAGTCTCCTGGGTACAAGCAGAAGCCTACTGGGTTGTGTGATGCCAGCTCCCCTCAGTTTATGGTGGCCGCCGCCATTGCCTGGATCATTATCGCGATTTCTCTCCTTGCCAACAGTCAGCATTCCAGTCATGACTGTCTGAGCCTCAAGGAACTAACATTTAGGACACAGTAACCAGACCCTCAAATAAGACCACAGATCTTATTTTTGGGCAGATTTTTCATGCTTACATAGGTTACGTGCTTACAGGTGTTTTAGGTGGAATCTTGAAGTTGGGGTGGAGGCAGGGGGAAGGGGTGAAAGAAGGAGTGAAGGGGTCAAAACAAGCCAGAGGAGATTAGAGATTTAATTAAACTGCCTGTTTGGTTAAGGGCTTTTAGGTGCAAAGCTGCTTTGCATGATAATGGCAGTTTATCTGAATTCCATTCTACTGAAGGAAGCTTCTTTTACTCTTAATTACTGTGGCTAGTAAGCCTGGCTTCTCCTTAGTACCCCACCCCAGGGTAAGTAGGGTAGCTCACCTCTCAGCTTCAGCTGTACTGGCCACTGCCAGGGATAGAGTTGTCTTCTAGCTCTGGAGGTGGCCGGTCCATGCACTGAGCGATACCTAGGTGCTTGGGGGCCTTTGGGGTGATGTAGTAAAGTCAGAAGTGGCTTGGGGGTGATCCCTGAAATTCCAGCAAAGTCATGAGTGGCTTGGGGGTGACCCCTGAAATTCCATGTAGGGCTCCACAGACAGGTAGGGCAGCAGAGAATGGCTCTTGGCTGAGGCTACTAGGCCTGGGCCTGGGGTCTCTGCTTCCAGAACCCCCAAACACCAAAGAGAACCACCATTCACCTGGTAGATTCCTGCTGCTGAACAGTGGCCCTGGACAAGCACAGATGTGACTGTTAAGTGAGCTGGGAGGGTCTGGACCAGAGGGAGACTCTCTGGCCACAGGGGTCTGAGGCTGGAGGGGCTGCCTCTTTGGTGGTGATAGTGACTGTTTTTCAGGCAGAAGGACAGCATCTGTGCTCATCAGGACAAAGGTAACTGGAGAGGTTGGTTGGGGGAGCAGAGGGCCCCATCTAAGCCACAAGAGTTGGGAGGCTCCAGCACACACAGGCTAGGTAGGAAAGGGTTAAAGGGTCTCTGGGAACTCCTGTTTCCTATCACTTGTCAGCCAGCTCTGCTCTCAGCCTTATCAGCGGGGATAGGGCCTCGCAGGGAAAGCCTCTGAGAACACTCGCTCCTTTCCAAGCTCTTTCCAGACTCAAAGCTCTCAGCGTTCTCATTACCTTCTAAGGGCTCCCTGGCTCAGTCTGGAGAGAGGGCTGCGGGGAGGGGGCTGGAAACCCAAACACATTTAATAGAGTGGAGTGCGAGTTACTAAATACAGCCTTGGGGTGGTGGTGAGGCTGTAGAAGCTCAACAGTAAACCCTCCGAGTCCAACTGTCCCCCCACCCAGCCCCGCCCTGACCTTCTCCTGTGCCAGATTCCTGCAGGCAATGTCTTTACTCTCATTCAACCAAAGCTAAAACCCTTTTTCAGTTTTCCCCTTTTACAGTTTCCCCTGAGTCAGAAAGTTCCGCTGTGTACTTGTGGAGTTACTTGTGGAACTCAAGTAAAGGACCTTACCTCTCGGGTGAAATTCCTCTGGGTAAATTTGACCCTTGCTAGTCTTTCGAGAGGCATGCACTTTTCAGTTCTCTATCATGTGGATAGTCAGTTTCAGCCATCAGGTAATTCAGTAAACATGCTTTTTATATCTTCATTCAATTTACTGGTTTAAAAGATGTTTCCTGGAAAAAGGCTGATGACAGAGCCACTGGTCATGCCAGTGTAGACTGTCCTCGAGAACTTGACGTCAGCCCATGGTCAGTATTCTTTGGGTATGAATGCTGCTATTAAATCATCTGCTAATTCCTCATGTAGTGCTTCTCTAATTTATAATCCACCAATATATCTAGAAGGTCATGAAAAAAAGAGAAGCACCTTTCTGGAACCCAACACACTTGGCCCCCGAATCTCTCCAATCTGTCATTCTCATAACCCTGCTAAAGAAGGAAGTAGGGTTCATGTGCGATTTTGCAGCAGAGAGGGGGCTATGTGATGAATGCTAATGTAAGCATTCTACACTTTTGTAAAGAGCAGGAGGTACTTGCCAGAAAGAACAGTGGGTATGTGTGCTAGACATGCCGGGGAGCTGGGTCTGTAAAAAGAGCTGACTCAGGTAAGACATAGGGATCTAAAGGGTATTTAAGTAAAACAAGAACAGGGACTAGGGCAGCAGTTTGTAGAACAGGTGCCAGGTCCAGTGGTTTTGAGCATCCTGTGTCTGTCAGAGTAAATCTTGGGCTAGAACCAAGAGTTTCCTCTGGCAAACAAGCCTCAAAGCCTCAGTTCTTCCAGGACTAGAAACTCGACAGGTTCTGAACATCAGGCTGTCTGATGCCTCCATGCCTCTGCTAATGCTGCTCCCTCTGAAATCCCTCTCCCTGTGGCCCACCTGGCGAACATCTGCTCATCTCTCATCTTACATCCTCGAACAAGTCTTCTCTGCTTCCTTCTCCCCCTCCAGGTTGGCTTTCATGGTAATGGAGATCACTACTCCTCACTGTGACCTTTTGTTCCCTGCATAGGCATCTACATTTGCACTGAAAGTATTTTATTGTATAGAGGTTGAGGACGTCCATTTGAAGTTTGGTGCCTGTGAATAGACACTGTACTCCTGGACAACAGAGTGAGACCCTGTCTCTAAAAGAACAAGCACATCATAAGGGCTCAACCAACAGTGGCTGCTATTATTATTAATTCATATATCTGTATTCTCTGCTAGAAAATAATCCCCTTGAGGGCAGAGATCGTGTCTTGAGCCTGTTTGTATTGCAAGTTCCCAGAGTTGGGAGTTCCCAGAGTTCCAAGCTTGTTGGTGGGTCCATACTGAGTGCTGATGGAGAATATATGAATTAAGGTTTAGAAAGGTTAGTCTGGAACCAGGCAGAGTCCCACATTCACACCCACATTCACATTAAGTAGGAGTCTGCAGCTCAGGCACTTAACTGGAATGATCAACCTGTGTGGAATCAAGACCTCTTATTTTGATGCTTGATACCAAAATAGCAGGCTTGGAGGGGGGTAGTTCTTACGATTATCTCATTGGAAAAGAAGCCCTGGGTGGTGATTTGACAAGGAACAGTGGTCCCAATCCCATGATCTAAAGAGTGACCCCACTGATGTTTAATTCCCTAGGCCAAGACAGACACGGGAACCTCTTGATATTTTTGTCATACTCAAATTCCGATCTTGATGACACCTCTGTCCTTCTAGCAGGCAGAACAATTTCCCTTTCTAGAAGACTCTGATGCACATTTCTTAGAGTTAATTAAAAGGTGAACAGAGAGTTTCATATCAGAGGCTTGCCTGGCTACTGCCGCCCTATGAGTAGAAGAGGGTCTGGGTCTGGGAAGTAACCGATACTCTGGGCAAGATTGAGTTTCCAGACGTCTAGCTCATATTGGAAGACTGGGTTTGAAAGTTCACTGATTGTCCTTTTCCCACGGACAGAGCCTTCTGTCCTTCCCAGTGCTGTGCTTGTGTGCCCCACTTTCCAACAAGAAGCCAGTCCCAGGAGGCTGTACCTCCAGGAACCTCAGAGACAAAGACCAATGGAGGAGCAGGTGTCTTCTCAGAGATTTCCCATGTAGATCACATTCCCCCTTGCCCAAGGTTCCATTTTCCCCCAGCTCCTTGAAATCCCAAACAAGTGGTTTTAATTGTCTCCTTCTCCCACTCTGAGAGCTAGTTTAAGAGAGGCAAGAAGAGAGAAAACCTTTTTCTATTGGAGTGGAGGGAGTTGGGTTGCACTGAACAATATTTTGCCCTGGATAATAAAAAGAAGATCAGCCGGGCTTGGCGGCTCAGCCTGTAATCCCATGCCTTGGGAGGCTGAGGTGAGTGGACTGCCTGAGCCCGTGGGTTCGAGACCCGCCTGGGCAACTTGGCGAGACCTCATCTCTACAATAAATCAAAAAATTAGCCGGGTGTGGTAGCACGCGCCTGTAGTTCCAGCTACTTGGAAGACTGAGATGGAAGGATTGCCGGAGCCCAGCAGGCCGAGGTTGCGGTGGCCGGGAGCGGCCACTGCACTCCAGTCTGGGTGACAGAATGAGACTCCAACTCAAAAAAAAAAAAAGAAGAAGATTGAGGCTAGGCTCGGTGGCTCAGCCTGTAATCCCAGCAGTTTGGGAGGCCAAGGCGAGTTGATTGCCGGAGCCCGTGGGTTCGAGCCCCGCCCAGGCAACTTGGGGAGACCTGGTCTCTATAATAAATCAAAAATTAGCTGGGTGTGGTAGCCCATGCCTGTAGTTCCGGCTACTTGGAAGGCTGAGGTGGAAGAATTGCCAGAGCCCAGCAGGTTGAGGCTGTGGTGGCCGGGAGCATACCACTGCACCCCAGTTTGGACGGCAGAGTGACTCCAACTCAAAAAAAAAAAAAGAAGATTGAGACATGCAAATTATAGATGCAACAGTACCGTGGGAGATGGATGATATTTAGTTGCATCTAAACCAAACCAGAGTCAGGCATGGTGGAGCATGCCCATAGTCCCAGCTACTCAGGCAGGAGGATCAATTGAGCCTAGGAGTTGGAGATGGCAGTGAGCTATGATCGCACCACTGCACTCCAGTATAGGCGACAGAATGAGGACCTTCTCTAAAATCAAAAACAAGCTGGGCTTGGTGGCTCAGCCTGTAATCCCATGCTTTGGGAGGCCGAGGTGAGTGGATTGCCTGAGCCCGAGGGTTCGAGACCCGCCTGGGCAACTTGGCGAGACCTCATCTCTACAATAAAAATAAAAAAATCAGCCGGGTGTGGTAGCACGTGCCTGTAATTCTGGCTACTAGGAAGGCTGAGGTGGAAGGATCATTGGAGCCCAGCAGGTCGAGGCTGCAGTGGCCGGAAGCGGCCACTGCATTCCAGTTTGGGCGACAGAGTGAGACACCAACTCAAAAAAAAAAAAAAAAAAAAAGAAATCAAATCAAATCAAATCAAAAACAAAAACAAACAAACAAAAAAAAAAGAAAAATAAACCCACTCAGTTCACCATACAGAACTCTGCAAGGAAGTTTAAATTTCTTGTTAGTCGAAATGAAAAATACCATAATTGAGTCTGAAGGAAACAATTATGTATCAGAGACCAATTGGACTCTGGAATGACCCTCATCTTCAGCTTCTTTTATGGTTTTTATTTCATTTTCCACTAGGATTTGACCAGAAAGAGAACATTTTAAATAGAAACAGCGTTGGGAAGTATGGCCTGTGGGAGAGTTGGGTCTTTGTGCACTTGAGGAGTTCTTTGGGTGTAGGATCCAGGCGATAGAGCTGGGCCAATGGGACTCTGTTGGTTTTCAAATTCCCCTTCCACATAGCTGTGGAAAGAATTGTGTCATTCCTGATAGAAAACCCAGCCAAAGCGTTCCCTTGGAGATGAAAACACAGAATTAGAGTTTTAAGAAACATTTTTGGGGGGAGTCAAAAGAATGTTAATGAGACCATTGATTAAGTTATACAAAGAAGTCAAAAATAAAATAAATACTTATGACCAGTTGAAATACTTAAAAAGATGCCAAAAAAAAAGAAAAGAAAAGAAACCCTAAAAAAAAAAATTGAGCTTTCAGAGGGGAACCAGGAGTGGTAAAGAAAGAATGCCGTGAGAGGACAGCATCGAAACCAAACTGAGGAAACAGCGCTTTAAACCAATGATTATTAGAAAATCAGCAACAGCCGTGCTCAGTGGCTCAGCCTATAATCCTGCACCTTTGGGAGGTTGCAGTGAGTGGATTGCCTGAGCCCGCAGGTTCGAGACCCGCCTGGGCAACTTTTGGTGAGGCCTCATCTCTACAATAAATAAAAAATTAACTGGGCGTGGTAGCATATGCTTGTAGTTCCAGCTACGTGGAAGGCTGAGGCGGAAGGATCGCCAGAGTCTAGCAGGTCGAGGCTGCGGTGGCCGGGAGCAGCCACTGCACTCCAGTCTGGGTGACAGAGTGAGACTCCAACTCAAAAATAAAATAAAATAAAATAAAAGAAAGAAAATCAGTAACAGTCGTTGATTAAACGAACAAATTAGGGTTCTAGGAAAAGGGACACAAAACAAATAGCTTAGAGAAGACTATCATGTTGGGTCAACTATGAGATTTATGAATAGTAAAAATCTTTCATTTCTTGTGCAGTTAAGAACATTGTTGGGCCTGGAGCAGTGACCTGTCACCCCAGCACTTTGGGTGGCCAAGGCGGGAGGATCACTTGAAGCCATGAGTTTGAGACCAGCCTGGGCAACATAGCAAGATCCTGTGTCTATTAAAAAAAAGGCAGCCGGGCTCGGTGGCTCAGCCTGTAATCCCGTGCCTTTGGGAGGCTGAGGTGAGTGGATTGCCTGAGCCCGTGGGTTCGAGACCCACCTTGGCAGCGAGACCTCATCTCTACAATGAACCAAAAAATCAGCCGGGCGTGGTAGCGCATGCCTGTAATTCCGGCTACTTGAAAGGCTGAGGTGGAAGGATCGCTGGAGCCCAGCAGGTCGAGGCTGCAGTGGCCGGGAGCGGCCACTGCACTCCAGTCTGGGCGACAGAGTGAGACTC